AATTTTAAAAATTTCCAAATTCTAAAATTTGCAATTTTAGAAAATATCGAAATTTCATAAATTTGTAATTTTGAAAAATTTCCGAATTTCAAGCTTGTAAATTTGTAAATATCGAAGTTTGCCATTTTGAGAAATTCCAAAATTTACAATTTTGGAAAATTTCAAATTTCAAAGGTTACAAATTTGAAAATTTCCAAATTTTAAATTTCCTAAATCAAAAATTTATAACATCGCCTATTCGCAACTATAATCATTACTAAATTTCTACCTATGTAAATTTGTAAACTAAAAAATTTCCAAATTTCTAAATCAGAAAATATACAATATCTATTACACATCTAAAAATATAAAAAATTCGAGCAATCATCGAAAATCGTTACAGTAATCGTATGCTCATCATTGTATGCGACCATATGTGCCCCACATATGCTGTCCACATATTGGCATATACATACATGAACTTGTGAATGCTCATTGTAAACTGTCGTGCAAACCGGATGTAATCGAAGCTAGAAAACACGATTAAATCGCAGAAGAACGTGGACGACCAGCTGGTCGTTACTTCACCGTATTTCCAGACCGTTGACCCGCTCCCGCACTCGACAACAGATTTTCAACGCACGATTTAACTTTTCCGGTTAATTACATTGCATCGCGTGTGTGGAGCTGCCTGTAAAACACGACTCCTTCGTTTCAATAGCAGCACTTTGTTCCTACGAATCGGATAAACGCTTATTCGAATCTACTTATACACACGCTTACATTCTACCGATACAATCGCTGATTGTGAGAGAAACAACCTTTCAACAACTTGTACACGTCGCTCTGAATGGATTGTCAATTGTACTACATACTTACAAACGACGTGTCTCGGGAACGATTGTTTCTCTCACTTTTATGCGCTTTTGTTACGTGGATTTATGTTTTTATTCAGGAGTGATTAATTGTACATTTAAGCTTGGATAATTAACTCTTTCGTTATATGATCACTTCTCTATTGCATACAATTGAATTTTTATAATTAGAATCGTTATTTTTTAATTACTTTTAATTGCGTTTTATGTTATCTGCATGGATGTTTAAAAATAGAAGTTTAATTGTTGGAGACTTTGGAAGGTTTTTTAATTATGACGGGTTATTGTGTTTTTTAGTTAGTCAGAAATTTTTTGCTGTAAATTATTTGTCGCTTATAATTGTACTAAATCTTGTAATCAATCATTTGTGCTTCTTTTTCCTTGTAATTAATTCTTTCAGACAATGTTTCACCCTACAGTATAAATGTAGATATTTATAATATAAATAAAATAAACAGATAAATATTAACATAGTAAACACTAATAAATATATAAAATAATATGACCTGACGACACTGATAATATTATTAAAAAGCAAGTTGATAAAAACATGGTAAAAATGCAAAAAAATAATTAATACGATATTTAAATATTTACTTTATTGAAGTACTTCAATAAAAACTAAAATATATAAACAAAAATTTTTCTGTTAACGTAACATACTTGAACACTATCTCGAAAGTGTGTTGATACTAATTGTAAATATTGAACTTGAAAGATGAATAGTTTGTTAGTAAATATTAACAGTACCAACAATGTTGCACAATATTGACACACTGTCCATTGCTTATCTGAAGCTAAGAGTCCCTTTATATCAATCTTCTAAAACACTGATGATTGTTTGAAACTAAATGATGTTACATATTCCAAGTCATAGTCGTTTTACGTGCTCGGTGTACAATGTGGAAGTCGCTCGATATCGAAGTGACGAAATATGTTTGAATAACGAGTTGGGTTATTTGTAAGAACTTTCTTTTTCTGAACGTACTCGAAATTCATACATAATACTTCACTATTACTAGTATTCCGATCTCTAAACGTGACAGCGATCACGTAGCATGTAGGAAACGCTGTTACTTCATTTTGTTAGAAATTGTAATCCCAGATTTATTCTTTTGAAACTTAGAAGTTTATATTCTGAGTCGACATAATAAATTTAAAAGATTGTACCTTTTTGGATTGTTTATATTTTGGAATTTAAAATATGAGTGCAGTGGAAAGATACAGGATTTGAATTTGGCGCGGAAAATTTAAATTGATTTGTTTATACGTGACTAGACAATTTAATTTTGTTCCATGTCAAAAGCTTGGCAGTTTTATATAATAATTGATACTTCAAATATTACAATATCGATTGGATTGAAAATTGCACAGTTTGAATTTGGCGCGGTAAATTTGAATTGATTTATTTATGCGTAACAAATAAATAAATATACAATTTAAATTTAAATTTGTTTTACTCTGAAAGTTTGACAATTTGATAGAATAATTGATAGCTAAAGTTTTAAAACGTGAATACAATCGAAAATTATACAGCTTGAATTTTGCGCGGTAAATTTAAATAATTTAAACCAGATATACGTACACAACATAAATTTCACTTTATATCTTGCTAAAGTCTACCAATTGTTGAAACTGACTAAAATTATTAATAATACTCAAGAATTAATTAAATTCCCCAGTGATCTTAAACTTGTAATCAATCTTTAAATATTATCAAAAGAAATGGTATTAACACAAATGTCATTTTCACACAGAAATCTTTTCATTTTGAAAATAAATTATAACAATTAATATCATGTTAACAACAAATCATGTTAATAACAAGTCAAAAAATTATTATTTACAACACTTGTAATTTATGTGGGACGAATTTTCAATCACGATTTTTAAAACGCAACTTTTTCTGTACACAAAAACGTCTTGTATTACAATTCCATAAATTAATCTTACGTTCAACATAGAACTGCAACCTGAAGTGCGATAAATTAATGAAAAAGAAACTTTCAAATAAGTAAATTAGTTACATGGCCGCTTTTCTCATCGGACGTCAAAAATATTACTTCCCTATGGTATCTTAATGAAAACGTTCTAAGCAATATCACAGCTCGAGCTAGCTACATAGATTATCTATAAAGGAAATAATTTGAAACTGGGTTAGCTTGTCCGTTTTATATCGCCGTCATATATCATTGCATTCGAGCCACTCCTTCAACAACTTAGTGATTAAAGGATTTGCAAGAATAGATAATCGTCCTATCACTCGAATACCAATTTTTATTGTCGCAAAAATTCGTTTAATTTAGGAAGTCGGAAATATATTAGGTTAATAACGTGATATGTGTAGTATTTACAGTAATAAGTCTATGGCTGGATAAATTATTTACTGGGTAGTGGTTTCTGTTATAATTTGCAGAGAAAATAATACTAGCAAGTTATGAATATGTAATAGGTACTGTTTTGGTAATTATGGTAATTACAGCATAACATTTTTACTCTTTACTTGAATTTTTATTTCAAAAGGTAAGTAGAGAATTTTTACTAAATAATGATTTCACGTACCAAAACTTCGATGCAAATAAAAATTTCAATGATTCAAACTTCTCAGAATAACAATTTCAAGCATTGAAACTTGTCAAAACACAAAGTTTGAAATACAGAAACTTCCCAAAAAAAAATTTCAAATATTCAAATTTCTCAAAATAAAAATTTCAACAGAGAAATTTCTCAAAACAAGACTTGTTTATACTGTTACTTTCTAAACCAAAAATTGTACAGATTGAAACTTTCCAGAATTAATATCTTAATTAACATTTCACCCCAGCATCATCCAGCTGCCGCAAGCTGAGCTCAGAGACTATTGAGAAGCGTGTCTGCAATCATTTGAGGCTGAAAGTGTATTCCACGTTCTATACACACAACACGTCAGTTAATTAAGTTTATCAGTCACACACAGTCACCAGACAACAAGAAAGGACCTACAACAGTGAGACCAGACAACAAGAAAGGACCTACTTCTCTAAATTTCCAAATCTCATCTTGTGGTTGCATAGTACATGATTTCGCGATGAAGAGTTTTTACCATTCGGTTTTGTTCAACTTGAAGTAAGTCATATTCAATCCAAATTTACAGTATCAAAACAGACAACGGTGAAAAATAATAATTACATAAAAATTCAACCTTTCATTCAAAATGTCTTAGAGCTACCAACAAAGTACCTTCATAACCTTCACATAAAGGTACGAATGTGTTTTGTATTCTTCAAATATTTGTCCATGGAGAGAAGAATCAGAATCCCAGAAGGAAATGAAAAAGTGAGACTTGAAGTAAGTCATTTTCAACCCAAACTTGTAATGTCAAAACCGACAACAGTGAAAAATAATAATTTCATAAAAATTTAACCTAGTAAACAAAACATCTTAGAGGCACCATCAAAGTACTTTCATACATGAAGGCATAAATGTATTTTGTAATCCTCAAATATTTGTCCACAGAGGAAAGATCAGAATCCCAGAAGGAAATGATTAAGTGAGACTTGAAGAAAGTTATTTTCAACCCAAACTTGCAGTATCAAAACAGACAACACTGAGAAATAATAATGTCATAAAAATTCAACCCTTTAAACAAAATATCTTAGAGCTACCATCTAAGTATTTTCATAACCTTCACATAAAGATACGAACGTGTTTTGTATTCTTCAAATATTAGTCCACAAAGAAAAGAATCCCAGAAATTAACGATCACGTGGTGCACATCTCCGAGCATAACCGAGTATTTCGAACGATCAGATTGACAAAAAAGGAGGAGAAAAATGCCGTCGAGGAAGCGGCACGTTGATCATCGTAACACACAGGTAATGGGCTACGTTAGTGTAAGCACCGGCTGTTACCACATAGTCAGGGTGGGATAGGTGTGCGTAGGTACCCACAGGAAGAGAATACTTTCACTGCCAAAGTATGGTTGGGAGCCTTCGAGAAGGACGAAGAAACTCAGTCACCGACCAGTCGGACAAGGAAGGTGAGAGTGAAATGAGTAGGAGAATGTGGTATCGGTACAGTACCGTATCGTTCTTCCGAGTGTCATTACCGATCCTCTGACCAATTGCTTGCTGGCCGATTGTCTGTCGGGGTGTTAGACCCTGTGAACATTACCCTTGAAAATTAGTGCATCTTCGAAGACACCTTTTGTGGACGCGCTGAGGACGGTGGTTCAGGAAGTGGACTGATGAGAAATGTTACGGGAACAAAAGATCGTCGGGGAAATAGAAGGTTGGTAACTTGAAGTTCGGAAAGAGATTCGACTCCATTTGGTTTTATGTACAGTAGACTTTAGGTAGATAATGAGCTTTGACAGTATATTAATCCAGAATTTGTTACGTGGAAATAGAAGAGTGTGACTTAGAATTTATGTGTGTACAGACAAGTGTAACTCAGAATTTATACAGAAGACAAGAATTTAGATATTGTTATGTAGTAGACTGCAATCCAGAAATGTTTGCATGTATGAATTTTGAAATTTTTAATTTAGATTTTAAATTTGAAATTTTCATGTGTATACAGTGGATAAGTTAACATTTTGTATGCATATGCACAAGATTAATTACAAAATTTTGATGAGTTTACGACAGACTGTAATTCATAATTTTTAATATAAGTATAGAAGATACTAGCTTAAACATTTTTATATATGTGTATCGAGTTTCAGAAATGTTTACAAATATACAGTAGACTGTATTTCAGAAGTTTTACTATTTAAATACATTATAGTTTAATAGTTTTCGTATAAGCAATAAGTTGTCCCTTAGAATCCTTTCTGTATAACAATTTTTATATACAGTAGATATCTGTTATATTTTTACTGAACATTTTTTAAATAATATAATCTAATGGAACCTCAGCTTGAAACAGTTTGTGTATTGTATAGGTTTATCAGGAAATATTTATTTAAACATGGTACCAGTATTTTATGCAAATATAAAAATGTTATTTGTCATAACTTTATTAATTAACTTTAATTGAACAACCTTAAATTCAAGCCTCTTGTGCATTGCATTAATTTAACATAAAATAATATTTAACGTAATTAAATAACCTAACCTAATCTTAAATTAAACTATCTCGTATATTGCATAAATCCAACATAAAATATTTAAAAAATGTGCCAGTATTTAAACAAAAATATCAAAATAATATTTAACGTAATTAAGTAACATAACCTAACCTCAAATTAAACCATCTCGTACATCGCATAAATCTAAAATCAAATATTTATTTTAAAAAGTCACCAATACTTTAAACAAATATAAAAAGATTCTTTCACAGTTTCAACATCTGCTCAAGTATAATAAACTAGCACACACAGCACTTACAATGTCTCAAAAAATCAGGGCAAAATAAAAAAAGAGTGCTAATTTGAATACAGAATAATTGTACCATTAAGACTCGAAGCTATTAAGGTCACCAGTTCTTCGTAATATCGCAAATTGATTCAGAGAATGCAATCGATTGCGTAAGAATGGATTGTGTGTGGGTTACACACGAGGATCGATAGTATAATCGTGTTTAAACATAAAAAAAATATTGACTCGCAAGATTAAATATTCATAATGAAGAACAGAGGCGCAAGGTTGAAAATGTCGACATAATATTGCAATTAGTGTGCTTGTTCTCTGGATATAAAAGGCAATAATGTAGCTTGTACGCGTATGTACGTTTCTTTGCACCATGACACACAATTCTAAATATTGTATTATCAGATCGTTTCATAAATTTTCATTTTATTAACACTAGAACTACCTAACCGATCAAATGACCGCTCCACAAGTTTCTTATTATATGACAACACATTTTGTTAAAATACATTTCTTGAAATCAGAACTGATTTTCATCAAGATAAAGAATAAGTGCGTGTACTAATTTATATTTCGTCGTTTGTTTATTAATTTTTAAACTCCATTTTTTTTTTAACGTCGCATCTACCTTCAGGTCATTAGCGACGACTGGGTTCTATTTCCTACACTTTGTTGGACTATATACTATGGTACAAATTGATTTCTTTCAGGTACTGTAGGGTTTTCTCTATGTACTTTTGCGAAGTTAAGGCTTTGGTCGGTGTTATTCCATACTTTTGTCTTTGGGTCTGATATTTGTTGCATTCAAATAGTGCATATTGGTGGTTCTGTCATTTTTAATTTCAAATTAAATACACATTATATGCCGGTAGGTTTAGTGTTAAATGAAAATATGTTTGAGCTTTGACTTTGTGTTATGAATTGACATTTTAATGGGTCTATACCTATATGTCTATATGTCTATAATGCACATTTACTTATATGTCCACACATATCAAGGAGTTTTCAACACTCTTCATTAGTAGGTTGCTACATAAATTATCAAGTTTATTAAGAATTTACGTATTGAATAGGAATTGTAGGAATGAATAGGAATTTGTGGAATGATTCAATTTCTGCTTAGAAGCCGAGGACTTTCATGTGTGAAGTCAATATGTATGATATATTGAATAGAAAATTACACATATGTACAGAAAATTAAAAGTGTTTTAAATTTGTACATAAATACTTATTACATACAATTCACTATTAATATGAAATAAGATATTCAACTGATAAATGTTAAATAACATATCTCCATTATGTAAATATTGATATTATTATTATTAACGTTAATTAATATTAATATTGACATATAATTGGGAACATTATAGAGATGTCATTTGATCATTACAGAAATGATGCTTTCAAAAAATTTCTAATTTCACTAGATGAGAAAAAATAAAGTAAACGCCTGTCAAAAATGAATAATTCATAATTAATAGCAATGGAGACATCGAGAAAGTGCTGTGTTGGATAGTGAAGAATACATTTTCATTTATGAATCGAACGAAATTTTTAAGTTGGGTTATTTTAGTCCTTGACGATGATGGCAGCCAGCACAGATGTTGTAACATGTGGTGTAAATTTAGAAATTTAAAAGTTTGAGATTATTGAATTTACAAGTTTCTCAAGTTAGTAATTAGTGCTGTTTCAAATTTTGTAATTCTTACATTTCCAAATTCTGCCATTTTTACATTTCTAAATTTTTCAGTTTATTAATTTTCTAATTTTTATATTACTAAATTTTATAGTTTTATAATTTTCTACTTTTTACATTACTGAATTTTCCAATTTTTCAATTTTTAATTTTCTAAATTATTAAATTTTCCAAATTCCACATTCCTAAATTTTCTGATTTTCCAATTTCCAACTTTTGTATTACAAAATTTGTTAATTTTCCAACTTTCACATATACAAATTACCAAACTTCCTCATTTACCAAATTTACAATTTTCAAATTCAGGAATTAAAAAATTAAGAAAAATTCAAAGGTTCAGAAATTTAATAATTTGGAAATTTGGAAATTTATGTACTTAAAAATTTGAGAATTTGAATACTTGATACACTGAGAATTAACTACTCTAAAAATAAAAAAATCTAGAAATCCACAAACTCAGTAATTTCAATCTTTGAAAATATAGAAAATTTAATAATCACAAAATTTAGAAATATACCAATTTACAATCTAAAAATTTCGATAAATTGCAACTCATCAAGTTTAAGAATATCAATTCTCAAATTCCTTTCCAATTCTTAAGATTTAAACAACAGCAATTTTAATAAAAACAAACAACCTATAAAAAAGTTTAAGAATTTCCTTGGATATTTTAAGAATATCGTTCGCGTTGAAATAAAAAATCCACTGTAAAAAACAAATAACAAACACTACTTTTTAAATGTTTATATACATATAATTTTTATATGTGCATTTTCCGATTGCATATAATTATTCATAATAACATTTTCTTCGGTTAATAGGTTTATAGCTATACGATGAGTATTACATCTGCCATTTCACTTGAAATATTTCAGACCGGTTTTATAGGATGTTACACAACTTACGAAATTCACGCAAAAACCTGTTTAACTTCACTTTCCATGCCATTTCTTTTACTCCTCTTGTTTATTACCAAAACAATAATACGCGTTTAATATTATTTTATTTTGTATTTTATTCTGTGAAACCATCATATAAAAACATTATATCAATTTTCAATTTTTAATGAATGACAAAAATATTTATTTTTTAAAAATTTCTTCATTTGAAACATAAGGATTAAATTTGGTAAAAAATATGCAGTATTTAAGCAAACAACTTTTTAGATTTATTTTAATAAAAAAAAATTTTAATTTTATAAATTCATGATTTTTCTTTCGCTTTTATTTTTTAATATTTTCTTTTTTTTTTATTTAGAAAAAGGATTTTACAAAAAAAGTATTTTTATGTACAAAGTAAAGCGTAGTAAATCACTATTGATTTCTTGGAAATAATTCAACTTGATCTTGCGTCAATTCTACTTGTTGGTAATTATCTCATTTACTTTCCTTTGTCGTCGAAAGTTGCATAAAGAAAGAAAGAAAGTCTCACGAATGGTTACGCAATTCTAATTCTACGAACAATTTCATAGACCTGAAAACGTGTTTTCTCACTTAAATGTCATTATCATTTCCCCGGTGCTTCGGAAGTATGAAAGAGTAGAAATCAACCAATCAAAAGTTTATTAAACACTGAAGTTTATAAAGTACTCTTGCAAGTATAAGAATGTGAGAATTTGTGAGTTAAAATTTTCCAATTTTCGAATCTACAAATTTGCAATTGTATAGTTCGCAGATTGTGAAATTTATAAGTCTGCAATTGGCAAATTTTCGAATGCTCAAATTTTCAATTTTTCAATTGGCAAATTTTCAAATCTACAAGTTTTCAAGTTCCCAATTCGCAAATTTGCAAATTTACAGTTTCCAAATCTATAAAATTGCAATTTTCTGCTTTGCAAGTTTGCAATTCCACAATTCCTAAATTGTCAAATTTATGATTATCCATTTTGAAAATTTTCAAATTCATAAGTTTGCAATTTCCTAATTTTCAAGCTACAAATTTTCCAACTTGCTAATTTACAAATTTAAAACTTGATAAATGTTTAAACTACCAAATCTTCAAATTTACAGGTTCGTAAATATCTAATAGTCAAACAATAGTCACTTTATGTAGTCTAATAGTCTAATAGTGACAAATATTGTATACTAAACTTTACAATTGAGATCTTTCTCTTTCAATAAGTTCCGATTATATTCATAAATCATTATATTTTTACTCGTCACATACACAATGTCCTTGATTTTTAAAACTCTTCTAAAAACATCATTAACAAAAATAAG